TGAGTACGGGTTGTTGGTAAAGATCTGTTCATTGGTATTGTAAATGTTCTGATAGGTCTGATCGGCTGGTTGCGGCTTGGCTGATAATAGCCGGTGGTAACCAGTTGGTATTGTGTGGGCCTGTGCGGGTATTGATAGCCGTATACGTTGTTTGTATGGTTGTGGGCTGTGTGTATTGCACTTGCATCATTTGTTCGTAGAAGGCATCTGTGGTCGAAGGCTGCTGCACTGGCGTGGCTGGGCCACGTATCCCCATTGATCGCTGTCTTGCAAATTTTCATACATGGATTGATACAATTGGGGGTCCGGTTGTAAATAGGTAGCCTGAATCTCCTCAGCCGACATGGGAATGTTGGAGTTATAAGTACTTACGTAGCTGCTGGAACTTGCGGTTTGTTGTGGCTCGGGTTGCGCAACGACAGGCTCTTGGGTGGCGGCATAGCCAGAGGTTTCGTGGATAGTCTCTGTGTAATAAGTGTTGTCGGGAACAACAACCTCGCTAACCTGTTGAATTTGGGGTTGCGCTTCTTGAGGTGGCGCCTGCACCACTTCCGGAACCGCTTGAATAGGAACCATAACGGTTCCGAGGTTGTTGTGGTCGTGGTAGTTGTAATTTGATTTTGCTCGTTGGCATGTGAAACATCTGGCTTTGCTCGACTTCTCGGTGTGCCTTTCTTGCTGCTGAGCTGCCTTGAGAGTTGCCTGTCTTTGTCGTTCCAGTTCAATGCCCCTCAGAACTCAGCATATGACGTCGACCCTGGTGCCCACATGGGACTCTTCGAGCGGGTTCGATCTTCGGCAGAGGGCAAGTTCAATTGAGCTGTGGTCGTGGTGGTAGTCGTGTGGAAGTTTGGTGTTCCTCGGGGGCTAAATGGTGTCGCGATTGAGGTTCAGCACACTTGTGGCTGAGGTTTGCTGTTGTCTTCGTCTGGGAGAACGTCCTCTTCTCTGTTCTCTGGGCGACGCAGTGGTGCTTACCGGCCTGCGGTTGAGCACTACTACGTTCCTGGTGCAAAAATTCCTCAGACTTGACATTAGGGGTGGTGCGAGTGGTGCTAGGAACATTTTCGAATATCATCTCCTCAATCGGCGAATGCTGTGGATGAGGTTCTATAATCGTTACACTTTGAGGTTGTGGCACATTGTCGGTTGTATCGGTGGGGTGGTGATGTTGGGGTAGCGGTATGTTTACCTCTATGTTCACGAGCCTTTTTGCGGTCTGGTCTTGACGACGAGAAGAGCTGGTGGTCGTTCTTGTGGTCTTTGTCGTGGTGGTGATTACTTTGTGCATTATGCCCTGTTCGTCGACGTACTCTTCCGTTGTGGTATTCACCTTGGTTTCGGGCGTTTCTCTTGCGATTTGTACGGGCGTCATAGACGACAAGGTCACGGGGCTAGTATGGCTTTATCTGATTCGGGCGAGGATTGACCTGTAAGTACCTCGGCGTAAGTCAGACCTATCTTAGAGGGTTTCAACATCATGGAAACGGACGATGATGTTGCGACCACCGAATGTGGGTCCAGTTTGTATGACAAAAGCGGCAACCCCATCATATCTTTGTTGCATATCTTCGATGGATGCACGTAGAGCCTGGTCAGTTGCAATAAAAAATAATGTGGGAGAAATTTGCCAAAAACGTTAGGTTTTGTGGAAAACAGTAATTGTGGGGGTATACAAAGAAACCTAACCTAAAAATCAACAACAAAAGCCTACAAAGACACCTTTCCGATTCCTTGCGAATCAAGGAGTAAAAAAAATCTAGTAAATGTAAATTAAAATTCTGTGGCATTTATTATTTATTTTTTCCTCTTCTCTTTTTTTTGATTTTCAGATCTGAGGGGTCATGTTCCTTGCAATAATAAAATATAAACTATAAATAATATCAGATACTATGTTAGATATATGGGGGAGGGGGGAAATGACAATTGGTGGAATGTTTTTTTTTTATTTAAAAGACATTTTTGGAAAGGAAAATCTCTTTGTTTTTAGCTTGGGAGAAAACACAAAAAAACACTCAACACTCATTGCCATTCCCTCCATTCCCCCCAATGTGGCGGTGGCTGCTTAAATATAAGGATGACTTAAACCTATAGTTCGGGTAAGGGTGGTGGGCAATGGTGGACAGTTACAAAGTTTATAATTCTAGAAGGGTTTCATCTGGAGTACCACGATGTATCATAAGTTTTATGCGCTCATTTCGGGAGGTTATTTTCGAGTGGAGATTTTTGACACGTTCTCGACACGCCTATTGTTTTGGAACATCGAAGAATCGAGACATGTGGATTGGGGGGACCAAAATGGGTTTTGTGTGGATATGTATGGATTTGTGTGTGTGTGTTTGTGATGGATGCGTGTGTGTGTGTTGATATTTATATAAGAGAATACAAGCAAATATTCAATAGGTAAACCCGACAAAGAAGAAGGCAATCATTTCGATTTAATTTGTTTATAATTATTGTTATTGTCATTTGGAATACAAAAGTTGAATGGTAGTGGAGAGCATTAGATTGTTAAAATAAAGCACAATTATGTTGAGAGAGAGAGAGAGATATATAAAGAGGTTAGATCAGAGATCAACAGATTAATTAGCACATTTAAGTGTGATAAAATATCATGTAAGAGAGAGAGAGAGCGAGCGAGCGGGAACAAAGGCAACAAATAATTATGATTTTGTTGTTTTGTTTTTTTTATACCAATACCGTTTAAGAGCAGAGTAGAGCAACAACACCGGATTTTGTTTAAATGTGGATGGAATTTGATTTGGAATGTAGTTTTTGTTTTGTTTAATGGAAATGTCGATAAAAGAAAAAAGAAAATTTTTTATGTCAAATAAAAACCAAATACCAAACAAAAATAATATAAGACATATAAAACAAGGTAGAGAGAGAGAGAGAGAGATAAAACCATAACCCATACAAATGAGAAACTAAATAATATACAGGGAGATAAAAAGAGAGCGAGAGAGTGAATGAAACATAAACTAATACCATTTTACCAAAAAAATAAATGAAAATAATGCTAATGATATATATACTTTTTTTGTTTTGTAATGGAACCACTTATTGGTGGGTGATTAAACTAGCTACCAAAAAATTGTTTTTGAATTATAACCAAAAGCCATGAGTGATGATGATATCAAATCAAAATGAGGTGAGGTAATTACACAGAAGGAGGGGCCAATTGCCAATGCATTGTGGCCATGTCAAGTCCCTGCTTCTGTTAACAATGTCAATTTTGCAATGTGGTTTGTGATGCTCTTTTGCAGTGATGATTCTTGTGTACGTTTCGTTGGTGAGTGAGATTGGGGGTAACTTGGGTGGGTGATATGTTTGTGGGTGATTGGTGATGAGGGATTTTTCTCCAAACTTATTTTTCTTTCTTTCAGATCTAATACAAAACTGATTCTCGTTTAACTTACAACTATAAATGATGTTGTTATCAATCAAAGACAAAGAAAAACTGGAAATGACTTACCCTTCAATTGCAAAATTCTTGCAATAATATATTTAATTAAATACAAATAATGTATATAGGAAAAAAGAAAACTTAAGCTAATAATTCAAAAGGGAACATGGCTATAAGGTACTGGTCTGAACAGATATGGAATTGTAATTAAAAAAGTTAATATTTTATTTTTAAATCAAATTTGTAAACGTTATAGCCACATTACACTTTATAATTAATCTAATAAAAATTCGAGTCATTTCATTGATTTTCGTGGCAAATCTCAACACTTTTCCTCATTTCAAATTTCTAACTCAACCTAAATAAAGTAAAACGTGTGTGTATTCATATTAGTTCTGCCTGAGTGTGTTCGTATAAAAATACACACAATTTGTAGTTCTGACACTATGGCTATAAAAAATATTTTTTGAACGTCTATATGTATAGAAGTGTGTATGTGTTTTTTTTTTTTTTTTTGGAGGTTAAATTGTATTTTTAAACTAAACAAAAAAGGCACACTCATCAATGAGAAATCCTAAATATTACTTCATGGCCTTACAAAAAAAAAAAAAAAAAAAAATGATGAAAAAAACTTGTCACGGGATGTTTCTGGACCTAAGAAAAAACTTTGCCACGTGACAAAACATTTCTTGAGGTATTTCAATTCCAGTCACAATCTATTTTTTTCGTTTTAGATTTGTTACTGTCTGAAGGATGATGTTATTTTGGGTGTGCGTTTCGAATGAAAATGATTCTGGATGATTTGTTAAAATATTCACATGAAAAATGTCGAAATACATATTATGACAGCGATCACGTTGGTATGTGTGTATGTTGGTCGGAAAGCATTGCTTTTTTCCTTCAAGGCACAATATGAATGGTATAAGTGATGTTGGGGTTCATGACCATGATCAGGGCGGGCGCACAAAATGTTTTTGTTCGTTCAAGTGACAAGATATTAGTCAAAATTTGAATATGAAGGCTGCCTGAAGTGATGTTAGGGAAAAAAGAACGGCGCAACTCAAAAAATAAACAAAAATTCAGCAAAATCAAAAGGAAATAAAAAAAAAAAAAAAACTAAAAATAAGTTAAGATAAGGAAAATAAAAAAATCTAACAACTTTCTTATTTGGCTTTTGCTTCTGCTTCTTCTCGAAACAGCCACCGTGCAACGAAAATATTTTTTCTCGTTATTAATTTGTTATTGTAGCTGTAATATGTTTGCTGGGTTATTCTGGACGTTCCATCATTACAATCATCATCAGTGGATGTTGGTTTAGTACAAAGAGCCATAACTCATCATCATCATTAGGATTGAGAGCTCAAAACTAAACTAAAACATTGATGCAAACGTAATACAATGTTTGTGGATAAAGTAGTAATGAGGATGAGGATAACTCCTAAACACCTTGCAAAATATAACTCTTTCTAATTTCAAATGGTTCCTTTTTTCCCTCCTGGGATAATTGCCTGCACAATGCCTAACTTTCTAATAAACAAGAAATTCGATTCGGAATAAAAGGGGTACGTACCTGTTGCTCGGCCAGTGCACGCTCACGATCATGTGGCAGATATGTGGGTGCCATGACCAGCCTCAACTGTTGTTCCTCTTGGATTATCTTTTGCCTCAACGTTTGCATTTGCTGTTGATATACATCGATTTGTTGCAGGGTTTCTTCCAAGCCAGAACTGGTGGTTTTCACCAAACCAGCCAAGCTATCCAGAACCTTTAACAAATCATCAACATTTTCGCTCAGACGTGGATCTCCACCCATGCCGTTCTTAAAGTGGACCTGTAAGTAAAGACATGTCCAGAAAGCAAAGAAAGAGAAAAAAGGGGAAGATTTGTTGGTGAGTCGGGTGTGTCTTTTCGAATGGTAGAAAAAAACCAAGCAGAGTATCAAAACTACATCTTCTCTGGCCATACCTCCAACTTTTCAATAGACAGTCTTAGTTTGGTCTTCTGTACATTTATATCGGCCATTGTCTTCTCGCAATAGCCCAACTGATCCCTCAGCGGTTCTTTTTGTGTTGGGGCGATTCCAAAGACTGTTTGGTTTTCTCTATCCAGCTGCGTATATCCTTAATTTACGTTCACATTGATCCCATTCTTCGCAGGCTTCTTGTAGCAATGAGTTCTGGAAGAAAAATGTTTTTTTTTATATTACTGATGCCTCCTAGTGAGGAGGGGAGGCGACGACATACCCTCTCTAGCAATACAGCTTCCACAGCAACCTTCGCATCTCTCGGCTTCTTGCAGTTTGTCCTTGAGATCGCCAACCGTTGTCACCTGGCCTATGTGTTCCAATTCCTTGTCCATTTCGCTCAAGTGTTTTACAATGGGTTTAATACTCTTCACAGCCGTCACGTAATCATTGAGTTTACTGCGGGCCTCGGGCAGGGTCTTCAGTTCAATACTTTGTTCCAGGAATACACGTTTCTCGGCCACCCAGGCCATGACTATCTGGTACAGGTTCATAAAGCGGGTCCAGGCATCTAAACTATCACCAACTTGCTGTTCTTCTCATCCAGCCAGGAACGCACTTGTCCCAGCTGTTGGGCCAGCTGGTCGATTGTGGTCTGCACCAGCAGTTTTTCGTCGCTGCTGCGGCAATTGTCAATGATCAGCTGGCCGTTGGTCTTAACCATTGTGAACGTTCGTAGATGCCGGTGATTTCCTGATTGATGCGGTGCAACAGTTCCTTCATCTGTGCCGGTGCCAGGCTGCGGTCCTGCACCTCTACTTCGGCTTGCATCAGCCACTTCTGTATTTCATCGACGCCGGCAAGATAGTCTGTGCGTACGGTTTTGGCACGTTTGAATTCCTTCTGTTTCGACTCCATGTTGCCCTGGACACGTTCCGATAACAACTCGAGTGCGGTAAACTCTTGATCAATATCACTGGGTACGAGGTTTTGCTTCTTCAAGTACAGCTCCTTGGTTGTACTGACTAGGCTTTGGCTTTCCTTGACGGTCTTCTTGACTTCACTATCCAGATTCTCCAGTTGTTTTTCGATTTTGGCAATATTCTCATCAAATGCATGAACACCCTGGATTTCCTCAACAAGGCGTTGAATTTGTCTTGTAGCGTAGAGATCTTACGGAAGCTGGTCTCGATTTCTTCTAGAATCACGACCAACCTGACGATCCTTATCGTGCAAAGAGTCGTTCAATCTGAAATTACAAGAAAAATATGAAAAGAATGCAAAATTATTGAGAACAATTTCCGAATTATTTGAATGGCTATTTTGTTGCTTGGTTGCTGTTCCAGCACGCGGTTCTGTCAAACACCAAAATTGTATTTCCCAATGGTTTTCCAAAACTATATGCTCTTTGTGGTCAATGACGTAGTCATGCCGTGGTCTGCTGTGCGGCGGTGTCTTTTTTTTTTTGTTGTTTCTTTCAACTTGAAAGACGTCGAAGAGGGGTGTGTGGTGATGGTGCTCTAGCAAGCGGTTATAATATTTTAGCCGCAGCGCACTATAGGCCCAAGCAATGTGCTGTTTCTTTATTATCCTATTATTCGGTTTATTCTTGGATTGTTGAAATTCTGCCGTGTTTCTTCGTTGCTTTGTATTATAAGTATTCTTTGTCATATATACGTATGTAAGTATGTATGTTCGAGGGTATACTGCATATATGTAAAACAATTGCTGTTTGTTTTTATTTTTCAAAAAATTTCTGTTTTATTGTTGTTGTATCCACACAAAAAGTCTCAAAAAGGCTGGGAAGATTGCCGTGGAAAAGTAAATGCGGCTGTTTAGCTACAAGTTTCTACTCAAAGTGAACAACGCAATATTTCGCACACAAGGGCCAGCCAGCCAGCCACCATCAGATCATCATCTACCAAAAGAATATTCGAAATCGAAAATTCGAACATTGAATTGATTCATACATTCGCTCATTCATCACGGTCAAAAGAGGCGAGCGAGCGAATGGAACTCAGACAGGCGGCCAATGGCCAAACTAGTTGGCCATGGTAGGAAGGAGCGGCAAATGTGTGTATGGCGGCATAATTTGTGTACTCTCATAATGTTCTCAACTTGAGAAATGTTTGAAGACGCGTGCCTTTGCGGCCTCTTTTTCCAATAGAGAAGATCCCCTAGCATAAAGAGAAAATAGTTTTCTCCCTCTTTACACTCAAACTTTTAAAGTTATCAACCCTTAAAGATCGGGCAAAGAGACTCTGTCTCCTTGGGGTGCTAAATTAATTCTCTAAGAGAGAAAGAGAGTAGATTTTTTATTATAAAAACAATAACTCAAAAATAATCTATGAAAATGATTTACTCAGCTATTGAGGAGAAGAAGAGAGCTGTCAGCATGTCCACTCTTTTCTTAATGTTTATAAATATTTTTATTGTCTAGCAATTCAAAAGAAAAGTGAAAATTACTTTGAGAGAAATATGTTTCTCTCGGATTTTTTGATTAACATAGAGAGAATCATAACTTCTCAATTAAAAACAGCTCCTTTCTAAGTCAAAGGGGAAGGGAAAAGCCGAACTGGAAAATTGTCTAGGCCGGTAATTTGCAGCTAGTATTATCGAGCAATGCAAGAAGTGTAAGTTTGATCTTACGACATCCGCCAATATTCCAAATAAGTTTGTTTTTATTCATGTTGCATATACGCAGCATCGTACGCGATAGACATTAAAAGAAATGAATGGAGGTGGATAACTTGCTTTATATATTCGACAATTTTCTTTCGGCTTGCAATCTTATTCTAACACTTTTTTAAAATTAAGAGAAAAAGGAAATAATAGAATTTAAATATTCCATGTTTTTAAATCTCTTTCAATATTTAAATATAATTTTCATTTGAAGATATTGAAATAATAAATTAAAGTATGATTATTTCTCCTTATACTAAGTTAAAGAAAATGATTTTTATATTCATTTGCATTTTCTAGCTTTTTTAGCGGCCTTGGTCAGCCTTTGTTTGTGAAATTCGAAACAAGCTAATTCGAATTTTTTTGATGTTTTCAATTATTTTTATGTAAACAACGGAAAGGATGTAAATCGCTCGAATTCGTTTGTTTCGAATTTCATAAACAAAGGCCACTATAAAAGCTACAAAATACAAATAAAAATAAAAAAAAATTGTTTTCTTTAAATGTTGTCCGAAAAGAAATAATCATACTTCATTCATTATTTCAATATTTGCATATAAACATTTGATTAAAATATTGAAACAATTTTTCAATCAATTTTGAAAAAAAAAATCAAATTCTATTATTTTCTCTTTCTCTCGATTTCATTGAAAATTGTTTTAGAATCTCCGAATTTCTTTGGGAAAATATCACATACAAAAAAAAAACACTATTGCCGGCCTCATTTTCAAAACGCCATGTCTCGACATTAACTGACACTAATTTTGTGCGAGTGTGTGTTGGAGTGTGTGCGATCTGCTTTTCTGATTATTTTTAGATCATTTTCGGTTTTTATTTTAATTTTTCTTCTCTGTTGTGTTTTTATTTTGATATGCGTCGCATAAGAATTGTTAAATTAGAAAATATAATAAAGCACACAACAGCAGCGTACAGTTTTCGGTACAAAAACAAATGTTTTTTCTTATTTTAGAAGTGACGTCATTTCTACAAATATATCCGAAAGGCGTTACTAGACAAAAACGACGTTACGCTTCAATAGAATTCATCAATTGAAATAAACAAAACAAAAAAAACAAATGCAAATTCTTCCATGGTATTTGTTGTTGTTTTTGCTGTTCGCCATGAATCAACTGGGCAGAACAATTAAATGTTTTAAATATTAAAAATTTTGAAAGGCAAGAGTCATCATCGAACATCATTTGATTCTCTTATATTCTCCTTCATTATTGCTGCGTTTACTTTATCACTAATTGACTGACTAACTGACTGACCGGCACACCTTGTTTGGAGATGCCATTCGAAATGTAAATAATACAAATGAATTTTTATAAAAAAAAAATCCAGAAGAAGTGAAATTAATTTATGGCATTCCCGTGCAGCAATATATGTTAGAAAAAAGAAAATAATGTCACGTTGCCGATGATGTCTTGTGACGTGTGTTCGTCTTGAGGCCACCACAATGCGATTAGCCAAATATGAAACAAAATTTTGCTATGAAGAAATGATTCCAATTGGAATATGGCCAAAAGTCCATTGTTATTTGTATTTTTTCTAAAATTCTAATAATACAAACAACACACACACACATATACACAAGTCAAAATAATAACAATAGAACAACGTAAAATCTCTTCACACATTTCCATCTATCTAAGAAAGCATGCATGGGTACGCTATGCGGGAAAGAAAAGTTTGAAATTAAAAAAGATTAACATTATTGAATATTTATGTTAATACTTTGTGAAGATTTATGACAATTTTTGTTTTCCAAAAAAAAAAAAAAAAATGTAGACAAACTATTTGCATGGGTGTTTAATGTTTCCTCTTTGAGTATTTAGAAAAATTTTAAAATTCAAAATAAATGTTTGAAATTCGAAACCTTCAAAGTGAAAACGGATAAACATGTTCAAAGTGAGTGAAGTGCGATCATTTTGCTGTCATTATTTGTCAAAAAAAAAAAAAAAATGAAAATATGTCCTTGCATGACAATTTGCTAAAATATCGAATGTCTATGAGGAAAAAGTAATAAATATTTACAAATGCATAAATGCAATAATTTTTTAAAGTTTTTGTTTCTCATTGTCTTTTGCGTATTTTCATTTTTTACTTTTGACATTTTTATGATCGAAAAATAAATTAGATTTCACTTTCACAAGAGGCCATAAACAGCAGTTTTCATGTTATTAAAAAATTTAAAAAAAAATCTAAAAGATTTATTAGCATGTTTCTTGCTAACGTTTAAGCTACAGCTGGCGCTCAAGCCGTTCGACTATTAACCATTAGTCGAATCCAAAATACGAAACGAAAGGAAAGGTTCATTAAAAATGTTTGATAAATTGCATTGCATTGTAAACAGATTATTGGCAAAGAAAGTTTGTTAGGAGTGGTTGGGAATTCTGAAGGAGAGTTTTTGGGATTAATGCAACTCCTCCATTCACGATAGTGGTGAAGTGGTTTAATTTGTCCATAAACATTTTTGGTTGATTTCATGACTTTTCTTCTTGCGCAGCACAATTTGCATAGAGCCAACTAACCAATCAGACAGACAGACCGACAGACAGACATCCACGGCGACCGACAGCTACACAGCTAAAAGCACTGCCAGGCAACCAAATCTCGGGCCGTTGTTATTTTGTAAGTGAATGGCACCTAAACGGCAAAAAGAAATGCCGAAAAAAATATATCTGCGGCACGAAATTTAGGTCAATTGTGGTGTTATTTGACTTACGACTAGGCAGGCGACAGTCGAGCAGCTTCGAAAGAAACCAAAATTCACAAAACTCTTTTGAGCAACCATACGATAAAGAGAGAGGGGGGGCTATGGATTTAAAAATTTTCTTTCAGAAAAATGCAAAGAAAAAAGGGCAAACAACAAAAGCGAATTGCTTTCGTTTCATTTAGCATTAATGCTAAACATATTTTCTCTGGCATTGCCCGAAAGTAAATGACCGACCTCTCAAATAAATGGCCATGTAGAGTTTGGCTTTTGCATTTAGTTTTCAACTCGTTTTGCTAATCGCTTGCTGCTGTTAACATAGCTGCCGTTGGTTTGTGTGTGGTTTTCGGTGCCTGACTGACTGCCTGCTGCCGACTGCTGCCGTTAGTGTTTCTGGTGAACGAATTTTAAATATTAAATGAAGTCAGACTCGATATTCACGAAACGAGCAAGAGAACAGAATAGAAGATGACTTAATGTGATGAGTTTCTAGAAAGCCAGGTTCATGGCTTGTTTTTGTTTTTTTGTGACATTTTTACACGCCGCTTAGCGAAGACCCACCTTTTTCTGTAGACGTCTTTTGGCTTGATAAATTCCTTACGATAAGGATTTTACAACAAAAGCGTAGGTTGTGTGTGTGCGTGTGATTGAAATGGAGACGCCTGAGTTGTTGGGAATAGCTCAGCTTCAGTTTCAGCACAACTACTCAACCTTCTTTTAAACAAATAAAAGGCTGGAGTGTGCCCGGGTTTTATAGCCAATGGAAAAGCTACAAGTTTGCCTCTAACGTAAGACAGTTGTTGTTGGTTTTGTTAAAACTAAAATCAATCATACGCCTTGGTAATCCACAA